GGTTTTGATTATCGATTTATCGATTAAAATCGATTCTTGCTTGGATAACGTGATATCGATTCATTAAAATCTTGAATCTTTGCAAAATTGCAAAACGCTGTGTCTCTAATAAAACCTCTGTAACTTTGCTCTGCTTCACTTCAGCAGCATCAGGTATTGTTCAGATGTTCATTAATGGTTTTCTTTCGTTTTTGATCTACTGCAGAATATTTTTATAAAATCTCAGGCCAGGATAATCACCTTCATGTTTTTCTGTGTTTTATCCTCAGCTACTTTGACACAAAGGCATCTGCTGTGATGCTTACACCTTTGATTATGTCTCGCAAGTGTCAGCTTTCTTTAAATATAGAAATGTACTGTTGCATGATCTGAATTATAATATTTCTGACTGTCTGAGGCAAAATTTCCCCGATTCAAATTGAATCGAATCCAATCCAATCCAATCCAATCAAATCGAATCGGAATCAAATCGATTCTAGAAATGAGTGATGATACCCAGCCCTAGTGTTATCTTCCCCTCAGTTCTTGTGTCAGTGTCTGTTTCCTACGTGCAGTTTTCCTCCCCTTATGTTCCTTGCCAGTAGTGATATTCTGTTTTTGTCTTTCCTATGTATGTTTGATTTGGAGGCTTTGTGGCAGCCTGAAATAAAAGTTTCCTTTTCAGTTTACTTCCACCTCCCCTCTGAGTCTTCATTTGGGCCCCATTACCTCTGCGTCATGGCAAAAATACTCAAAAAATAAACAACTATAATTAAAATCTTCAAAACAAAGATGAATCCACTATGGAAATTTTGGACAAATACATTTACAGTACTGTGCAAACATGGATTTTGAACAAGAGTCTCAGGGCTTCCTTTCAAAGTTTTTCTTTGGTCATTGGCTGCTTTTTCACTTGTTTTCAGCTTTTTAACCTGAGAGAAGCATCTGGCCCTTCAGTTGATCCACCTACTGTTCATTAAAGCCTCACCAGAAATGGTCTCAGTGGAAGGACGGCAGTCAAGAAGCCATACTTAAGAAACGGAAACAGGGAGGAAAGGATGAGGTATGCCAAATTACACAAGAACTGGACTGGAAGTCAGTGACCACAGGCCTGATGGAGTGATGAACCTAAATTTGAGATTTCTGATATAAATCTTTGTCAATATTTACAGAAGAGGTGAGGACAGGGGTACAGCAGTGAGTGTCTGCAGCCATCTGTAAAACACGGTGTAGGCTCTGTGATGTTTTGGGGCTGCATTTCAGCCAGTAGTGTTGGGGACCTTGCCAAAATAAATGGAATTATGAATTCAGAAAAGTACCATCAGATGGAAAGGGTCTGATTGACAGTGACATTGACTATTGGCATGACATGGACTGGCCTCCCTAGAGCCCAGACTTGAACATTACTGAAGCAGTATAGGATTGACAGAACAGAACAAAAGGCAGATTACATCCAAAGAAGAGCTTTGAATGTCCTTCAAGAAACCTGGAGAACTATTCCTGAAGATTACTTAAAGAAATGAGTAGTCTCTTAGAAAAGAAAGCTTGTCTAAGAGAGTTCAATTGTGCAACGTATGTTTTTGTTTCTTATATATTGTATTTCCATGTATGTTTGTACATGTTTCACTAAATCATTGCACTTATTTCCCATTTTCCTAGCAAAATATATAGAAATGTAGGGTAGCTCATGACTTTTGCACATTAGTGAAAACTATGCCACGGAGATGAAGAAATTAAACAGATTTTTTTAAAAGATGCTAATAAAATATTCACCACACTACCTTTGAAGCTTTAGTCAGCTTAACATTTATATAACACAACGGATAAAAATCAACACACATTAAGCAAAAATAATTAACATTGCTCTGTAGTATTGTCAGTGCACTGTATATTTTACTCTGGAATCCCACAGCTCTCTTCAGTGAAGGCTGCTTGTTAACATCAAAACATCCACACATACCTGACTGCTGCATCAGGCAGCGAATGCAACGAGGCAGACTTTGGTGTGAAAGCTATACAATTCTCTGATGTGGCTAAAATAAATAATTTCTATCAATAAGATGTAAGAAACTAAGAAACAAAAATAGATTGACTTGAACTCTGAAAGTTACTGAGAGATTTAAGTGATAAACTTTAAATAGATGCCTGTGTCATTACCTCAAAAACAGTCGCTGTTAGCTAAAATAGACACCAGACACACAAAGATTCAGTCAATCCAAACAGAATCAAACTGAAAAGCTCTGGACAAAAAGCCTCAAAATTAAATCAGTAACTCCAACATAGTTTAAACACACACTGAACAGAGATGCCTGCTGTTTCAAAACCACTTTCATCCACTGTGGACACAAACAGACCTGTGAACCTGCTGAACACTGACATGTTGGAAATGGAAAAAGATGACTTCCATTTCAGTCCTTTTCTGTTGTCTGCTCACATTCGCAACCAAACTTGGTTCCCATGTCTAAGGTGCAAATCCCTGTTCCACTGATACACTGGTAGAGATGTGCTAATAGAGCAGCATCACACAGGAAATGGTTCAGAGTATAGTACAGCAGCACAGTGGTCACAAATACAAGTGAGTGTCTGCTTGTCTTTGTTACTCTGTAGCTAATGTAAAACCACCAAACATTAAAGAAACACTAATGAGTCGCCCAATCAAGCATAGGTATAAAAAATAATAAATTCTTATTTCTTATTTTCCTCCAGCTGCACACTAAAGGTCTGTGTTTCTTTTTACATTTGTGTTTATCACATCTTTTCTCTTTCCTGTTTTGACTATTTTTTTCCTTTGTTTAAGTGTAAGTTTTTTGTTTTGTTTTGTTTTGTTTTGTTTTGTTTTTTTTGGGGGGGGGGGGGGGGGGGTTGTTGTGAGTTCCAGTCCTACTTTGATGATTAGTACTCTCGTGTGTCTTTGTCTTTGTGTCTTTGTGTCCTGTTTAACCATCAGTGAGTGTGTGTACACTGGAGCAATTCTTGGTTTTAATGAGCTATTTTCAGCTTAAATTCTGAGTCACGAAATTAGTTCTGTTTTTACCTGGCTCTTAAGTATCAAACATAAAAACATGTTATGTGGGCACACACTACCTTTTCTGGTGTGATACCCATTATCTCTGACTGGAGCTTTAAGTTTTTTCAAGCCAACTAATGCAAGGATAGCCCAGCTATGCTGAACTTGCTTGTAGCGCGATGACCTGGATGACTGAGAACCTTCACAGACACCTCTCTGTTTTAGTATTTATATTTGTGGTGTTGCTTCAGTCTGCTGATGTTTGCTCAGTGCCTTGTTCTACTGTCTCCAGCCTTCAATCGTTTCTGCCCTTTGCTTTTCCAGACTGACTTTTTGTTTCAACTATATCCTTGCATTTCAGAATTAAAGCTCACATTTTGTTTTTGAGCTCGGGTGTCTTGAAATTGGATCCTTTACTCTGCAAACCATTACATTCAACCCATATGGTACCCAGTATGTACATAACAAAAGCTGTCATGTCAAAGGGTCCCCCAGAAGAGTTAGCTGAAAAGTATAATACATTTATTCGTATAATAATGTCCATATGTATAGATGTGCTACAGAGGTGCCGTTCCTGTATCATGATAATAATGTTTTCCATTATAAAACTCTCTTCTGGAACAAATGGTCTGCATGTGTAGTGTTTTCTTTAGTAACTTATAATATATAATAAATACATTATCAAGTGAGGTTTACTATTAGCCAAATTTAGGCTACTCATGCTGGTTTGCTAGTGACAGTTTTTAAAGTATTAGCTAACTTGTTGGCTAATGGATGGCATCATTAATCAGTTGCAATGTTGATTCATTGTTATGATGACATGTTGGCCAATAGAATACCTGATGTCACTGGGAGACACTGCATCGCTTTACAAGTTGAAGTTGAAACTAGTTTCAGTGGCAGTCTAGGTGTCATGGAGCCCAGTTTACAGTTACTTAGAGTGAAAATGGTGGCCAGCATAAGCTTTATCACCTATCATTGCCATTTTTTTCCAAAGGAAAATCTCAGTGACAAAAATGAGAAACAATTCAGTGACCCTACTGACCGCAGAAAGTTTGAGAACCTCTGCTACAGACTGTATCCCAGTGTGAAGAAAGCCGCCGCTTAAAGCTAGAACTCGTCAGCTGTCACACTTTGTATCAACCACAGCTTGAAAGCAGTCCTGCGGGAGTGGCAGCTGAGCTACTGTATGACAGTGTGACTTTAATTTCTCTCCAGACTTCAGAGTTTGCTTTTCTTTCAGGAGTTCTGCTCTCCTCAGTAAAGGCGTCTGCTTCCCCCCAATGTCACTGTTTCTTAATAAACTTTGTTCCAGGAGCTTAATGCATCATCTTGTTGAGTTGCTCATCCCTAACATCACACACTGTGCGAGTTACTGAACAAATATTCTCCAAATACATGCTCATAAATATACACTGGCATTAAGCCCTGTCAGTGTTTCATAACACAGATGCTGCGGTTCTGAAGAAAAAAGGAAAAATCTAAATAAGATGTCTCCTTATGGCCTATTTCATCCTATTCCTCTTCCCATTTCTCCCACACAGACCTGAGCTCGATTTAACATCTTTTGATCAGATTTTGACAATTTTCTCACAGTTCTAAAATGTGTCTCCTAAGAAATGGCCTTCCTCCTGTCTCAGCTAGATCCCAATTTAGAATCTGAAATACTCAATTTCTCACAGTTTTGATCTTTATTTGTCTAAAAAAATATATATACTTTTAATGTAATAGTAAAATTCAATAGAAAACCTGATCGCAAATTAGTCTTCTCGACAGACTCAATGACCATGTGTGCATTCAGGTCTATAATTTGAGTATTTGTGTCCTTTCTTTCTTCTCTTGTTATGTTTTTTTTGAAGTATTTGGTGGCATTTTAGCTTTTATTATGAT